TTATTATTATTATTATTATTATTATTATTATTATTATTATTATTATTTATTTGTGCTTTTTTTAAATCTTCTTCTCTCCAGCTTTATGGGGCCTCCTTGATGCCCCCCCCGGGGGCGCGGCCCCCACTTTGTAAAACAGTGTTAGAGCACACACAGAGGGTGACCCACACTAATGCCTAATATTTGAATGTCTTGAAAAAGTTTTGTCAGTATGTTTAAATATTTAAATAACTGTGCGTCTAATTAAAAGAGACAGGCTTGATCCATTTCAGATACACACACAGAGTTAACGCAATATTCTTGAACATTTCTCTCTACCTGTTTGCCTCTCTTTCCTGGCCTCCCAGTTGGTCCTCTCTTCCCTGAAACACCCGGCTCTCCCTTCCAGCCCGGCTCACCCTTGGAAAACAGAAAGGTTAAGAAAATATTAGATTTGATCAATTTTGTGCTTTCACTCACTGATTTATTTAATACCTTCTGCCCAAGTATCCCAGGCGCGCCAGTGGAACCCTAAAAAATGAGAACATGAGAGTTTAATGTGAGAGAAGTGACCATAGACAGGAGCTGCATGGACTTCTCAGCATGTGACCAGAATCAGCCAATTACTAGCAGCTTGATTGGGAACACATCCCAAACCTTTTTTTTAATTTTCAGTCTGGAAAAGGCTAATTTTTCTTTAAAGTTCTTGTTTAAACAAGCGATAGATTCAAGTTCAGCTTAGAATGTTGTGAGTTCCATAATTTGCAAGCAGTGGACAAAATGAAAAAGTTGTACGTTTAAAACAGTGGTTCCCAACACCAGTCCTTGAGGAACACCATCCTGCATGGTTTAGTTGCTTCTCTGCTCTGCTGATTTGAATGAACGGTGATTAACAGACTTCTGCAGAACTTGAGGAAGTCTGAATCAGGTGTGTTAAAGCAGAGAAACAACTAAAACATGCAGGATGGTGTTCCTCAAGGACCAGGGTTGGGAACTACTGGTTTAAAAGATACAGTGTAATTGTCCATACAGCCTTTAAGAGTGGATCTATTTTCTTGCTTGTTGAAGATGTTTCACTACAAGAGGAGCTTTCATCAAACTATGAAGGGTGGTCCAAGCTTTAAAACTGTAGTGAACTGCTCCTTTTTTTTTTGTTGAACTCACATGCAAATCACTCTCCCTCTTAAGGGTTGTGGGCATTCCGATTTCAACTTTCCAGAATGCACAATGCAATGTTGGATCTAATTCCCAGTCAGTTTCGCACAAATGTGCACCTTCATTTCATACATGTGACCAAAACATCTCTCATGTGGAGCAGGATGACAACAACCCTAATGACCCTCAGGAGGGAGGGGAGGGAGATGGATTAGCATTTGAGTTCATCAAATTGGTAAAAATGAGGCCTTGAAGATGTAAGTTAAAACAGCCATACATTGTTTATAAAGAATATATTTTGTTCACTTTGTTGGGTTTGATTCGTACAAATATTTATGTCTAATAACTCAAAGAACATTAATTGTAGATTCAGAGAGCCCAAACTCCTGTAGCTTTGTTCTTTTCAAAACAAAATTAATTTACTATAAATCATTTATTATGAAAGCATCTTTAAATTTTCACATAAACTCACTCAGTATTCTGTTCTTAGAGAGGATTCAAATTTAGCCATGAAGGAGTCGGCAGGTTAAAATTATACAAAAGCCTAAAATCAAAATTGGTCTAGAACTGATGTGGTTTTACAGGAACCAGTAACATGGATGTAATCCTGGTTCTGAATAATACAATATATAACAAACCTTGTCTCCTCTTGGTCCAGTCGGGCCTGGGTCACCCCGTTCACCCTTTATTCCAAAAAGAGAAAGGGAAGCAAACTTAAAATGTAGACTAACGGTCAATACAGTGGATAAAAGTTCACTTAAACTTTACATTTATTATTTTTTTTATTATTCTTAATCTAAACTGAGGATGCTTTGGTACAAAAACAACTTAATAAATGCTCAAACTGCAAAATATTAATTTAATAGAATATAACCGTTTCGTTTTTTTTGCCAACAAAACGATTTTAATTTTTAATTGTAAGAAAACAAAAATGGTTGCTGTAGTTTTAAAAGCAGATTTTGTCATAATTTTTATCTTTTACTGATCCTTTTATTTTCTTTTAATGCTGTTTTCTAAACCTTATTTTATTTTATTTCATTTTGAGGGTGCGGGGAACGACGACGACACAGTCAACGTTTAGCAGGAAGACCTTTTACTGTGAAACCACATTTATAAAGTTACCTTGTCGCCTCGGTGACCAGGTAAACCCTGGAAGGACACATGAGAAGTATAAAAGTCCACGTGTCCACACAAAGTCCTCCATGAAGGTGCTCATGCTGCAAAGATACCACTGACCTTTTGTCCTGGTGGACCCCGCAGCCCTGGTAACCCCATGAGTCCTGGGTCTCCCTTCTCCCCCTTACACAAACGAAACAAACGGTGACCATCTCAGTTACTGGTGTAAGTTATGACACCAACAAGCTTCTGCCAGAACTCACAAGAGGTTCCTGGCACAGATCTGGCTTCAACATCAGGTTAGTCCTCCAAAATGTGCACCAGTACATAATGATGGTACCACTCTGTGCACTGTTTCTGATTTCAACACCTCACTTTGACCCCTTCAATTTATTCTTGTCATTGTGGCCAAATAGCTCCATCTCTGACTACAGGGTGCAATAAAGGACATTTTTGTCTTGAGCTGAACCCATTTCCTTTCATCTGTGAAAGTTTGGGCCTTCTTCTAGACATGAGTGGCAATAGATTCTAATAAACGTACATGAATATTTAAAATTGTGATCTTGGAGTCTTAATTAATTAATTTATTTTAATTAGTTCATAAGATTTTCACAACTTGGGTATAACTATCCCTTTTTAGATCAACACAATGAATTCCACAAGCATTCCCATTGATTTTAGTATTGATCATAAACTACCAGCTGCAGTCAATCATGATCACCAACAAGAAGCGAAAGGCTTTGGTCAAGTTAAGACATTAGCAGCTCTTCTTGTCATTTCAACCTCGATGTCTATTTGTGGCACTGTCAAGTCATATAGACAAGCTGTTATATAAATGTTATGGAAACGTGGAAGGTAAAACCCACAATAAAATAAGTGACAAAAATAAAATAAATCCCCATATCAATATGACTGTCTTGGTTCTGACCACAAACCTGGTTTTTGCTCCTTTCCTGTAATAATAAACTTGAATGATGTTGAACTCAGGGAAGCCATGACACTAACCCTATGTCCTTCTGGACCAGGCAGTCCTGGGAATCCTGGTTTTCCTGGAAGGCCTGGAGCACCAGGGCGCCCCTGAAGAAACAAAAACATTAAGTTTTTAGTCAAAAACATCAGCAGATTTTCTGTTCAGTCAGTTCCACAAAGGCACATTTGATCTGTTTAATTAAATCAGACTTAAATGAATCAGAATAAAACGAGCGCGTGGACCTGATCTGTTCTGACTTTTCCAACTCTCACCAGTGCCACCACCAGACACAGATACAGCTTTGTCAGATCTCTGCCAGATGAGAGGCCGAGGAGTAGCCTCACATCTGGTTTACACCTGAGGCGGTTGCACAGAGCTGCCGCCGCGTTAACAGGATGTGATTAAAGCCGTGGCCTGCAGAGGCACAGTGAAGCTGCTGCGTGTGTGAGGGCTGATTCATCACAACCAAAACCACTTAGGGAGATTAAAACATACAAGTGGAGTGCTGGTGGAGAGGCTAGATCAGCAGGACTTGGGCTCAGCGATGGAGGAGAATGAGACCGAGCCAAAGAGATGGAGCGTGCGGGAAAAATGAGCAGAGAGGAAGAAAAGAAAACTGATGGAGGGGTGATGAGGACAGGAATGACAGGAGACATTTAGACATGGTGATCAAGCATTGCTGTGGCTGCAGCACCCATTGAGACTAATGCAGCAGCTGTGGAGGATATTCTGAGCACTTGGATAGACAAATCAGATCACAGAGACTTATAGGACGAATGGATGACACAAAGGAGTCAAAGACGTGAAGGACTGAGGAGACACAATCAAGAGAGAAGGTCACCTTTGACCCCGGTCGCCCAATTTCTCCCTGGAGGAGGACAAATGGAGACGAGACGCCATTAGAGCAGAGCTGAACAGGGACAAATCCATCCACAGAAAACATTAGAGGCATAATTCACAAGTGCACACACCTTCTCCCCTTTTGGTCCTTGAATTCCAGGTAATCCACTTTGACCCTGAAAAATGACACGTTTACATCCAGATCGCACATATCGAACACGGTACATTTGTACAGAGATCAATACTAACACCATCATTTATTTTTATTTCAATGCTTCAGTCCTCCATAATTTGATCAGACTGATGTAAACGATGCACCTCACCTCTGGGCCCACAGGTCCTGGAGGTCCTGGGGGTCCAGGTGAACACTCATGGCTCACAGGCTTTGGTTTTTCCTCCACTTCGCCTCTGACAACCGATGGTTCCAGTAGGCTGATGGTGTCCTATGCTCAAACCATCAAAGACGACGGTGAAGACGCTTTTCAGATGAGTTGGCACACAAACGGAGGAGGGTGTGGTGTGCCGACTTACAGGACTTGCTCGCTTCCAAAGCTGACGCGGAGGAGGGAAGAGCGGCGGCGGAGGTGGTGACATGAGACAGCAGGGGTCAAATGTCTTCAGAACATCCAGGAACCCCAAAGCTGAGGGAGGGATAAAGAGAAACAGGATGAAAACCTGCAGCACTGCAGGGAAACACACTTCAACATGTTCCTCTTACGTAACCGGCAACCGTTCTGCAACACATGCTCATTATTTACCCGAGCGGGCTGGGAGGATGCTTTCCAAGTAGGGATGCCGGGTCCATACAGGACATAGAAGGATATGAAGAGACACGGCAATCTTCACCAGGTCCATCATGCTTCCTTTGTTACTCCCTGCAAACACAGCACAAGCAGTCATAAAGAAAATAAACACTATTTCTGCTTTCCGAGCTCAACGCTGTCGTTTTTTCCTTTGCTCCCTGAGCGTCTCCTCTGAGCAGGAGGAACTTGTTGAGGCTCCACACTGCAGCAGCAGATGCAGCCACCGCTGTAATTCCAGCCGCCGAGACAGAATTAGACCACTCCACTGACCCAAGCCAACAATAGTGAGGCTGTCACAGATTTCATTCACTCACACACAGTAAGGTCAGATTTCAGCTCAGCTGGTCAGTGCACGTCCATCATTAAAGACTGGGATGTGCAGCGCAGATGCTGTGATGTCTTCATTTGTCCTTCAATCTTAAAGAAGCACATCATGTCCTGCAGATTAAAGTGAAGTACCACAAACAGGTCCCTCCTTACCTTCTTCTTAAACTGGGGGTGCTCCTCACACCTAAATAAAATGTGCAGCAGTCCCAGTGAAGGACCGAGGCATGCAGCCTGAGAGGATAATAAATTGGATCTACTTATCGACCAGCTTCTTTCCCCTTCGCCGGTCAATGACAACACATTTGTGGATGATGGAGCCTGCTTTTCCTCCTCCCCTGGTGGTCACTGTCCTGTAGAGGCCACTGAGCGGACTCAGTCCCAGAGGGTCCTCTGGATCAGCATTAACTGTTGATCTGGACCGACTTCAGGACAACTGGATCGCTGGAACTGGATGACATTCCGAACGTACTGGCCTGGCACGGATTGTGTCCATGCTGGTGGCCACTTTAAAGGAATAATGGCGCCCTCTGGTGGATAGTTTTGGTAATATAAATTAAATCTGTTTTCCTTGTTACATTGATTTGAACGTTGATAATGTTCTGAACATGACAGGTGGAGAAAAAAAAAAAACATTATTATTACCTTTAGTGATTTAAAAACATTTATTCCAAAACAATTTAAAAAAATGTATTAATTATGTTAGTGACTCGATGCTTCCGTTTTGACATAAATGTCACTTCAGGTCTGAAAGGAAGACATGTTGTATCAAGTCTTAATGGATTTAACTGGAAACGAGCAGTGAAAAGTAATACTGTGGAGACAGAAACACACCTGAAATATTTTAATTATCTATGTTAAATGTGTATAATCTAATTCACAAAGGCATTTTGAGGAAGGTATAACAAGATATAGTATTGACTAGTAAAGAATATTATAGTATACATAAATATTGATTTGATTTGCATGGATTTTGTTGGATCCAGTTTGACTGAACCGCTAAATTATGATGATTATTCAAAAATAATTTTTGGTTCACACTTAAAATGATCAAGAAAGCTCATCAGAGACTCTACTTCCTCAGGCGGCTGAGGCGAGCTGGTCTGGGAATCTCAGTCCTCACCTCCTTCTACAGGTGTGCAGTGGAGAGCATCCTGTGCTCCAGCAGGAATCAGCCTCCCCACCATAACAGACATCTACACCTTCAGATGCAGGAAGAGAGCCACCTGCATCATGAAGGACTCCACTCACCCAGCACACACACTTTTTGGAGGAGGTTGTGGAGCATTAAGTGTAGAATCACTAGACTGAGGAACAGCTTCTACCCTGAGGCTGTTAGACTCACAAATCTCTAACTAGAATAATCACTGTGAAAAACCACATCATGTTGCTGCTGATCTGTTTCATGTTGTTGCTGATCTGTTTCAATGTTGCTGCTGATCTGTTTCATGTTGCTGTGTTCACTCGTGGTCATCTGCTCACACAGACTCGTGTTCGTGCTGCTGTTCAGCATACTGTGTTTGTACTACTAGTGCATAGTGTATTTTAGTTAATATTTTTCTTAGTTCATATCTTAGATCTTATTACTGTTATTCTTTTACGTTTTAAACTTTTGTTGGATGTAACTGGGACCCTGTGTACACAGTTTTGTTGACAAATAGAGTCTTGAGTCCTTGAAAATGTTTTACAGTGGGTTGCACGAGTAATCACCACCCTTTACTGTATTGTTTTCGTTCTTACAACAGCTTAATTGGACTTTTAATTTGATTACAAGTCATGATTTTTACCAAAACTACTATAAAAAATAATTACCACACAATCCGTTAAATTTGATCCATCTGTAAGCAATCTAAAGACCAGATGATCCCAGTACATATCCAGAATCAACACTGGTTCAACATCAAGAGAAAGAGAGATAATGACGAGATCATGAAGACCAAGGACCTTTCTACATGGGTCTGAGACAGTTGTGAAGAACTGCAGATCAGGTGTGGTTTATAAAATATATACTAAACCCTGAGCACCATTAAATCCATCAGGGAATGGAAAGATGATGCATTCACAACAAACCAATGTAGTCCATCAAAAGTCATGGATCAGATAAAGATGGCATTAATCTGAACATCCAGGAGGCCAACGATAACCCTGATGGAGCTGCAGCTCTTCTCAGATGGGCGTGTCTGTCCATATGACTGCTATAAGCTGCACAGAGCTGGACGTCATTGAAGAGAGGCAGACGTTCTGTGGTCAGATGAGACTGAAGATTACACCAAGCCTCACACAAATCTGACATCTCCCTGAGAACACCATCCTTATAGTGAAGCATGGTGGTGGCAGCATCATGTTGTGGGGATGGTGCAAATTGGAATTCTTGACGAAAACTGGAGTTTTCCAGAACTTTGACAATTGGATGGAGAATCCCCTTTTTCACTCATCACTTTTCAGATTGATACATTTATAACACTTTATTATTATTATTAGAATTCTTTAAAATCTTTGTACCCTCTTCATTAATTTTTTTTTATTTTTATTTTTTTAGAAGAATTACTTATAATCAAATTCAAAACCCAACTAAATGTGTGGCTGTAAGGCAATACATTAGAAAAATGACAGAGGAGGGATGAAAAAATAAAAAAAATAAATGAACAATTGCATAAGAGGACATTTTACCTTCTTGAACTACAACATTGAATAAAATCCTATCAGATTCGATCATTTCAGATGAATAAAAATAAATCTAACACAATCTAATCATGTTTACACACCACAATAAAGCTAACAGTGTAGATGCTGTCAGAAGAAAGTCAAAGTCACTGAGCAGAGATGCAGCAGATGGCGTGAACAAGGAAGTAAAATGTGAACCTTCTAGAAAATCTACAAAACTGCAAGAAGGATGACTCATGATAATTAAAAACAGCCATAAAACATCATGACTTAGCACTTTGCCAACACCTAAGCATGGAAATCTTGAAGTAAAGACTGAAAAGGATCAAAGACGCCTCTGCTCGTGCAGTCTGGACCTGCGGATCAGGAAGTTGCAGCCTTCAAATAAGCGATCAGATCTGCCCTTTCACTTTTCTTCTTGATTCCACTGAACAGCATCTTGGTGCCCGGGATGTACTTCTTTGGATTTTCAAGGTACACGTCCAGAGTTTCTTCATTCCAAACAACGCCTACACACAAGAAAGAAAAAAAAACAACAAACCTAAATCACAACTGAACACAGATGCTGCATTTTTTTTTTCTAAAACACACAAAACAAAATAAAAACTGCCTCAGCTACATTCTCTCACATGCATGAACTTTTATTGCCTCGTGTTCGAATGTCATGAAGGAAAACTGCAGCTGCCTGTTCAGACCTGCAGTTCTCACAGTTCTGGTGCAGAATCTGGGTTTACTGCAGCAGAAACACCAGAAATGTTCAAAAACTGGAGATGTTCCCAGAAGGACATGGTTTTACAACAGGAATGTACTTGTCAGATACACAATTAAAGCTCATTATAGTACAATGGTCATTCTGTGAGTAATGTTGTCTTTGACTCTTTTACACATAAGAAATGACTGATGTGAGACATTTCAGTGTTAAAACAGCAGTTAAACATTAGTGCACTGCTTGAAATCTTCTCATACTTACCCATACTTCTCATACACTAGATGAGTGGTTCTCAAGACCAAAGCAAAATGAGTTCAGCTCAACAGTAATGGAGGGTGGGGATCATATTTTTACACAATTGTTTTCTTTTACTACATTAATGTCAATTAAAGCTATCATGATCTGTGGTATGTGTTGAACCCAATGTGCAGACAGATGAGAGGAACTCAATGGTAAAAATAAGAATATTTCTATTAAACAGAAAAAAAGGCTGATGTGGCAGCAAATGTTACATATATGAGCTATAGACATGGAGGGAGACAGAGCATGACACCTTGACAAGACAGTCCACGGACAGGGGACTGACAAGGAGACGGAGAATATATAAGGACAATAACGAGACACAATGACGAACACCTGGGGTGATTGGGATAGAGGACAGGTGAGACAGGAGCAACATGAGGGAGAGCAGGAAAACTAACGGATCACAAAACACACACACCGATCCTCTCAAAAACAAAGTGAACAAATGTGTCATTTTTTTTTCTTCAGGTTGCTCTTATAAACTTAGTTTTTTAAATAAAGACCAATCAAAAAGAACCATGCACTTTAGAAGAACAAGTGTCTGATTAATGAACAATAGATAGAAATAGAACTGATTAAAAATCTTCTGAATCGCTCTTTGTCTGGCCTGTCACCTAGAACCAGTCTGCCTTGGGAGACCCTACCAGGGGCAGTTATACTTGCCTGACAGCATAGCTCCTAGGATCATTCAGGTGCACAAACTCCTCCACCACGATAAGGTGCCAATTCAAGGAGGAGGAAATCACTTTCTGAACTATAAAAAATACCATACCATATAGAGCTCTTAAAACAGCAACAAGGCCAACCAAAGTGCTGTACAATAGAAACAAACAAGCACAGCGGACAGGAAAACAAAATAAAAATATAGATACAAATAGCAGTGGATAATAACTAAATGGCCAACACTGTAGAATACATCCATCCATTATCTTTACCCACTTATTCCATTTTGGGTCACGGGGGTCGCTGGTGCCCATGTCCAACAATCACTGTGCGAGGGGCGGGGTACACACTGGATGGGTCGCAAGTCCATCACAGGGCCACATAGAGACAAACAACCATTCACTCTCTCATTCACACCTAGGGACAATTTAGAGTTACCAATCAGCCTAACATGCATGTTTTTGGTCTGTGGGAGGAAACCGGAGCACCCGGAGAAAACCCACGCATGCACGGAGAGAACATGCAAACTCCACCCAGAAAGGCCCCTGGACCGGGGTTTGAACCAAGGACCTGCTCGCTGAGAGGCAGCAGCTCTACCAGTTGCGCCACCGTGCTGCCAGACAGGATCAAAACTAATCACACCGTGTCAAAGGCAAGGGAATAAAAGTGGGTTTTCAGGTGAGACTTAAAGACTGTGAGTGTGAATGCCTGCCTGACACGCAGTGGCAACTCATTCCACAGTATTGGACCTGCAACAGAGAAAGCCCTGTCACATCTGAGCTTATGATAGGTTTCTGGAATTGAAGGTGAATGGGTAGCCAGTGCAGGGAGGCCAAAACTGGAGTAATGTGCTCTCTATGGCCTGTACCAGTTAAAAATTTGGCTGCAGCATTTTGGACCAATTGTAGACATGCAAAACAAAATTCTAAACAGAAGTGCATTGCAGTAATCGAGCCTGGACGTTATGAATGCATGGATCACTGTCTCAAGATTCTTTTTGGACAATATGGACTTCAGCTTAAACAGTCGCCTCAGCTGAAAAAAAACAAACAGGATTTAACAATCATGTTTACATGACTGTTAATCAATCAACCTTTATTTATACAGGTAAATCCCATTGAGCCTCGAGGACTCATTTACAAGAGAGACCTGATTTATTGTTAAGTTTTAAGGAAGGGTCCATTATCACTCCCAAATTGGTGACCCTTTGTTTCTCTAATGGAGCTAGAGAGGTAAAGTCAATGCAGTGGTTCATGAACGTGCCATTGGGATGGAACAAGATGACTTCAGACTTCTTCTCATTGAAACTTAAGAAGTTTAAAGCCATCCAGTCCCGGATGTCAGCCAGGCAGTCAAGAAGAGGTTGAATAGAGCGTGTGCCTCTGTGCCTCAGGGGGAAGTAAATTTGACAGCCATCGGCGTAGAAATGAAAGGGTATGTTATGATTGGGGAAAATAGCACCCAGTGGCAGCAGGTATAAAGAAAAGAGAAGGGGACCGAGGATGGACCCCTGCGGTACCCCCCACTGAAGCGCTGCCAATGCTGAACTGAAATCTTTGATACTGACACAAAAGGTTCTGTCAAAGAGGTAGGACCTAAACCAACTGAGGGCTGACACTGTGATGCCCACCCACTGCTCTAGCCTAGAAATGAGGACCCCATGGTCGATGGTGTCGAAAGCAGATGTAAGGTCCAATAGGACAAGCAGCACATAATCACCTGCATCAGTGGCTAGGAAAATGTCATTAAAAACCCTCAGTAGAGCAGTTTCAGTGCTGTGGAGAGATTTGAAGCCAGATTGGAATAACTCTAGGATAGCATGATCCTTCAAGAAGCACTTGAACTGAGACTCAACTATTTTTCCAGTAGTTTAGAGGTGAATGGGAGTCTGGAGACAGGCCGGAAGTTGGACACGACTGAGGGGTCAAGGTTAGTTTTTTTCAGGAGAGGCTGTACAGCAGCATGTTTAAAAGTTTTTGGCACCACACCTGAGGATAAACTGCTATTCACAATAGCAAGAATAAAAGGACCCAGAGTAGTAAAAACCTCCTTTAGAAGTTGATGGGGGACCACATCAAAGGAGGAACCAGATGGCTTCATGCTGCACATTACCTGCTCCAGAGAGGACAGAGAGATTGGCTCAAAGTGGTCAAATACAGCTGCACATTGAGATGGGATGGAAGGATCGTGAGCTGGTGGAGAAATAAGTGCCCGGGTGTTCGCAACTTTTTCTAAGAAGAAATGGAGGAAGTTCTCACACAGTTCAGTTGAGGCTTCCAGAGATGAAGGTTCACTGAGGTGTAGAACTGCGTTCAGGGTGGAAAAAAGAACTCGGGGGTTGTGGGAGTTGGAGACAATTAACTCAAAGAAGAATTTAGATTTAGCAGCTTTAACTGCTTTCTGATAACGACACCAACTCTCCCTTAGCATTAACAGAAACCCACTACATAGAACAGAATAGCTCGAAATGATCACAGTCTTCAAGGCTGCACTGACTTCTATGGATGGATGAAAAAGTGGATACTTTATTAGTTCAGCCTGCAGCTTTATTAGGACTGAATCAAAAAAGAACGAAATAAGAGTGGTCACATGCACCCTCCTTGTTGTGACCCACCCAGGGAGCACCACAGTTTAAGAACCACTGGACTTCATCTGATGACTGCATCTCATTAATGAGCAAAAGTGGATCAACTCAGAAAAAAAAAAACAGTTTATTGGTAAAAAAAAGTGGAGGTAAACTTTTAGTTTTTGTATTTGTTTGAATCAAACATTATTTCTTAGCTCTACAGACATCATTGAGAAATTTTCCTACCAGAAACTTTTAAAACAGGTGGAAAAGTTAAACCAAGCTAAAGATGTTGATTTGCCCAAAAGCCCAAAAGAAAAGCAGCTAATTTTATTGTCAGACAAGTGGAGTCATACTTCAAATTCAGTCCCTTATATTAACTTTACTAACTATTTATTGTGTTGGTATGACTTCATTTTAATAATAACATAGAAATATATATCACTTTACAATTAAGTATGCTGTCTGTTCAACTATAATTGATTTTCCTCCAGTTTGTCATGTTTTATTTACCTTTGTCGATGTTCGCCTGCGTGTAGGAGAAGCCTGGTGCCTGTCCCGTCTTCCTGCCAAACATCCCACTGAGGTTTGGGCCCTGCATGTGGCGGCCCCCCTGCTCCACCGTGTGACACTGGGCGCATTTCACGACAAACACCTTCTTCCCTTTATTTAAATCCCCCATGGCTGGCAGCTGATGGGGAGAAGCAGCAGGAGAAACACAGTTATCACGATCAGTGGAAAATGTTTATTCTCCAGTTTCCTGAGTCATATGTAAAAAGTTATCTTCAGAGTTTAAATAAAACAAGATTTGCTGCTGTGACGCTTAAAGCAATAAACTTTTTGAACGTACAAGTGGTGAATCCTACCGTCAGACAGGACTGTGTGGCTCAAACACCTCCAGGCAGATGCTTCCTTCTTCTACAGCCAGACGCTTGTGCAGCAGAGTCTTGTTGTTTCTGAAGCCCAGAGCAATTAGAGGAGATCTGTTCAGTCAGGATGAGTAAGCTGTAATATCCAAGTCCCACCCATTTCATAAAAATATAAACAAAGCACAAACCAGGTGAGGTATGCTGCTAATGCAGAGGTAAATTACTTTAAAATGCATCGTTTTAAGGATATTTCACAGCTGCAGGATGAACAAGTTGAAGAGATGAGTCATTTTTTTATTGTTTTTATTTCTTAAGCTTCCCACCAGGACAAGAAGCAGACATGGGAGCAGGAAGTTAAAAGCTCTTGGTTACTGTGGAAACTGAGGTGGAGCTGCAGCTGATTGGTCCTTTTCACCATCTGACTCACCTCTAACTGTCATTGAGCTTTCCAGGTTATCAGCGTTAACGTGTTTGTTGCGTAAAACACCAACGAAGAAGAAGTGAACCTCCTCGTGCACTGCGGGCAGTCCACAGTGAGAACAGGGAGGATGTTGCAGATCGTCTGTTTTGAAGTTTGTGTCTTGTGGGAGTTGAGCCGGACTTTTAAGGATCAGGTTTTTTTTGTCAGATCTGTTCTGGACGAAACTTCACTTCCTGTTTTGTTTTCAAGAACTTTGTTCTTTGCTTTGATTTTCCATCTCACTTTGCCATCCTCAGTAAATATATTTTGTTGTTGATTGACTGTAGATTATTCTGTTAGTTTAGCTCAAATGAAAGTTCACGTTTTGTTTGTGATTATTATTAACAGTCTTGATTTCCAGCATTTCTCCTTTGGGCCCTCCCATCAAACACCACATTTATGTGAAAAGACTTGCACTTTTCAATCTGCCATCCATGACTAACAAGGAAAATACTATTTTATCCCATTTCTTCTTGTATCTGTAGCTTTTTTTTGCTTTGATGAACATGTTCCCCCAGTCATGAACTAGAAATAGATAATTTAAAAAAGAAGATTAGATCAGGTCCGTTACACAAAGTTTGAATTTGATTGCTGAGAACAATCCCTAAACAATGAATTATTTTGTTTTCTGCTGAATGATTCAGCAAACAGCTGTTTGAATAACGCAGCTGCAGCTGCTGAAGACTTCACGAAATGGAAACCAGATTCAGGCTGTTTTATTGAGAAAATGAGATCTGAACCAGTAATTATGAAACAAACAAACAATAAACAAACAAACAAAAAAAATCTAAAGAATATATATTTTATACGATCGCACAAGGCTTACTATTAAATAAAAACAAGTTTTTAATCAATATTTTGTCAAGAATGTGTGCTTTTTTATGTTCATTCTTTAAATTTATGAAATTGCTGTATTTTTTGTGCTGGTGCAGCGGTTAGAGAAGGTGGGCCTGCATGTGATAGGAAGGTTGCCAGTTCTATTGAGGTGAAGTAAATTAGCATAACCCTACAGTCATTTTGTTATTATATCAACATGTTTTATTTATTTATTTGTTCATAAAAACCTTGCTGAGAAGGGTTTCTCCAGAAAAACACAGTTTTCTGTGTTGATCAAAAATGAACACATAATTGAAAATACTGCTTTGAATCTTGGAGTTGATTGAAGCCATTACATTTTTTTATTTAGCAAATTAATGCTCATTTATTACAAGTACAATGAAAAAATGAATCTCTTCTGATTAAAAATAATTGCAGGAATATAACTTTCACAAGCCTTTAATAATCTTTGTTTCTTTTTTCAGCTACGGTAAACAATTTAATAACAGCCTAGCGTTTTTCACTGAGTTGGGACAAATACACATATAACATGTACTTTTGTATATATCCACACAATATCACTTGTGTCTTTGTCTATTAATGGTAACCAGTGTAAAAGTAAACATCTTATTGTTTCATCAGGTCGAGGTTTAGGTTCTACAAGCCCCCATTTGTTTTTAAACATATTTTTAGATAAGAATGCTTATTTAAAAGGACAGTGTTTTTAAATATATCAAACATTTGTTTTTCTCCAATACCTGAAAATGTTCCAGCTTTTGCAAAATAAATATGTGAAATAAAATAAAAAAATAAAACTTCAGTTTATGAGTATTTGTCTCCCTCTGGTGGTCACCTAGTGGAATGACAGAAGCATTAATAAGCAGTAATTCAGTTTTTGATAAATAAATAATGTAGAGGTTAAAATTAATCTGTGATCTCATGATCAAGGTTCATTAATTTATTTATTCATATTTTAGTTTAAGGTAAATATAAAATCTGTTTTGATGTGATCAATACAGAAGACAAATGCTTTGATTTAAGTTTTGGGTTGTTCCCCCCCCCCCCCCCTCAGAAAACAAACAAACCAAAAAAAAAATAAAATAAATAAAATAGTTTAACTACCAATAACACATGAAAAATGTTGTGATAATTGTCATTTAAAACATTTTGTCACTGGTTCAATGTAAATTGACAGATAGTCCGATTGTCAAAGGTGAACTCAGACTTTAAGAAAACAAAAACAACAAAAAATACATCACTTTGCTCTAAGCTTTATTTTTGCTTTTATTTCAAAACGTCATTTTTATTCAGGAAGTGTTTCTAATCAAGATGACTTTATTCCTACAGATTACAACAAAATGTAAACACTTGTAGAATTGAACCTTTGCTTTAATATTAAACCTAAAACTTGCTGTTTACAGTTATAAAAACACTAAATGCTTGTTTTACGTGTTGACACAGACTTTATGCTCGGCCGACATGGATCCTTCATTCTTGAAAAGTTTTTTCTTCCATTTCATCATCTTCTTCTGAACTTCTTTTAAAGTCAACATCTTCAGTCCTGCAGAATAAAAATACACAAAATCTTACTTCCTCAAACATCTGGCCTGAGTAAAGAGTGACATTTAAAGAACAAATAGGTGCCTACCAGTGCAAACCAGTGTTTGATAACTGGTTGCTGGCCAGAGTCCTGAGCAGGCTCCAGTAGGGAACGTTTCTTCCAAATCTCTGTGGCAGCATTGGACTCGGTGCGTCTCTGATGTCGCGGCACTCTCTGCACATCTGGAGCACCTCCCAGGACCTCCCGAACCTCTGGGGCATGTTGGGGCTGGAGTTGGGCGCCCTGTCGTCGCTGCTGTCCCTGCCGAAGCGCAGGGGCATGTTGACGTGCATGTGGAGGGGTTTGGCAGTGGGGGGGTACAGCTTGATGATGGTCGGCAGGCTGATCTTGCTGGTGGTCGGCGTCACGTGGATTTTGAAGCTCTCCAGATCGAGACTTCTGCGGATTCCACTTGTCATCTGTTCAGAGGAGACGATGTCTTTTAAAATGTTGTTTCTTTTGGTGTGTTTCTTTAAGAACAGAATAATTTCGGTTGTTTTGTTGAACAAATTCAGAGAATTTTAGTTTGACATTTGGAGAAACTTTCAGTTTTCTGCTGCTGAAATAGAAAAAGTTAAACAAAATTACACTTTTATTTGTTGTTTTTTCTGTTTAAAAAGCAGAACAAAGACGGATATTACACTTCACACATGACTGAATGAGTAATTCCTCATTTAATCATTTAAAACGTCATCTTTCCTCAGATCCACCTAATCAATAGACTCCTAATCAACTGTTAAACACATCAGAAGCTGTTTTTAGCATCGACCTCGTCCTTTGTTTGTTTCTTACCTGCTGACGAGGCTGTTTTCTAACCGAGTGTCTGTCGTCGTTGCTGCTCTGCAAGGCCTCATCGTTGTGGATGGATTTACCAAAGACATGAAGGTCAGACGCTGCTGTCCCTCCGAGACGCCCCAGCATCAGCAGCGCCAGCAGTATCACCATCGTCAACATGTTTGAAACTTTGTCTGACCCTCTGGTCAGGGTTTGGACGCACTCCTTACTCTTATTTAAAACTCCTGGAAACCTGCGTCACCAGAGGTGCACAACAAAGACTGGTGCAGCAGATGGCACGCTCACCTACGTTTTTAGCTTCATTTAAACATTCCTGACTGGTCCACTAATTATATGGCTCAGGAAATAGAATTTGAAGAGGAATGTGTGCACTAATTGGGCTGCTGGATGAACTGGGTGCCTTTTGTTTGATTTGAAGACGAAGTCGCTGAAAACTAAATGCTTTTTGAAAAAAAATAATAAAAATTGACTTTTTCATAACCTTTACTCACTGTGTTGATCATACCAACTATAGAGCAAATAAAACAAATACTAATTTTTATATTAGCAATTAATTATCTGTGACTTAACACTGTTTTTAAAGTCAAACTCTAAAAGGTAAAATTGAATTTAATCACCATTTCAGTTCTATCCTTCCTGCTTCATTCTTGAAATTAAAGTTTAATCTTGTACTGCTGCCTCAGATGAACGTTAGGTCCATCAAAGCTTGAGAAAATAGCAAAAGAAATATTTGAGTATATTAACACATAATCCACAAGCATGACTGATTATGATGGTTTCAGTGTCAGGGCACATGGAGCTGGAGCCAGTGGTTTGGACACGGTGCTGCTGGTTCTGGGTGGGTGGGGTAGGGGACCCCCTCTGGGTGAGATACAAGTGAATCAGGATGTTTTCCTCTGGCAAGCCAGCCCACAACTACAGCAGTCCCTCGCTACTTCACGGTTCGACTTTTGTGGGTTTGCTCTGTCACGGTTTGTGAACGTATTGTACAAAAAACAATAATAATTTGTACAGAACACACGATTGTCAACTTTAATATTATTCATGTGATTGAGACAGTGGATACAGTACTGTCCAGTAAAAAGTTAACGAAAAACAAAATACTTCAGACAGGCGCCACCATTTTTCTCTCAATAAGCCTACACTGTATTCCCGCTCATAACGACCACATTTCCCAGAAGGCAACAGGGTCCCGCCCAGAAGCCAGTTTCCTTGTGCTAAAAAACTAGAGGTAAAGTTTTGATCTGATCTGAGCGGATACAGAGAAGCTGCACGTAACCCACCGAACCGGAACAGAACCGGAGCAGAACTGGAGCAGAACCAGACCTCCAGACCCATCAGTGAATTCTGAGAGCTGGTAACCAGTCTACATAGACATACAAGCGGGGACATGCCCAAGATCTGGTGGTCCATCCAGAGCCCATGGCCACGCCTTTCATATCTTTCCACCAGCCCACGAGGACCTCCGAGCGGGGACATGCTGGTAAGTAAAACGTAGAAGCTACTACACATATAAATATCTTGTTAAAATTAGTAGTTTTAAGAGTTTAGAAAACTAATTGTGGGCTTTGTTGCAGGGTAGGTCTGCAGAAACAGAACAGAGTCGGACCAGAACCGCTCCTGTTCTGCAGAGCTGGTGAGTAAAATTTAGTAGCTACACATACTGTACTGTATGTATGTTGTTAACATGATGTATGTTTAAGAGTTTAGAACATTGCAAGAGTGTGCAAAGGGTTTCTAAAACCTTAAAATATGCATACATAAATATATATACATAAATATATCCATCCATCCATCCATTATCTTTACCCGCTTATTCCATTTTGGGTCACGGGGGTTGCTGGTGCCCATGTCCAGCAATCACTGTGCGAGGGGCGGGGTACACCCTGGACGGGTCGCAAGTCCATCACAGGGCCACATAGAGACAAACGAGACAAACAACCATTCACTCGCTCGCTCACACCTAGGGACAATTTAGAGTTACCAATCAGCCTAACATGCATGTTTTTGGTCTGTGGGAGGAAACCGGAGCACCCGGAGAAAACCCACGCATGCACAGAGAGAACATGCAAACTCCACCCAGAAAGCCCTAGACCGGGGTTTGAACCAAGGACCTGCTCGCTGAGAGGCAGCAGCTCTACCAGTTGCGCCACCGTGCTGCCCACGTAAATATATATACAAACTAAAATAAATATAACGTCGCTACTTCGCAGAATTTTACTTGGTGGGGGTCGGAACTTAACACCCGCAATAAATGAGGGACTACTGTACTGTCTGTATTGTGCTGGACACTTGAAACTTGTCAGATTGTCACTGGGGTGATGTTAATGTCCAAGCTGATCCCACATCTGTTTGACTGGGAAAGAATCAGAGGATTGTAAGGTGCTGCAGGAGGTCTGCAGGTACATGGTGCGTGGACGGGTGAGTGCTTCTTAAAAGACTGCACCAGCGTGCCGTCTCAAGGGTACCATCTGAAGTCATACTACATGGCTCCACCACACCATGATACCAGGAGCTGACGTATCTGGACACATTGGCAGGGCCGCTCCTCTCCCCTCAGTGCCACCATACATGCACACAGTGGTCTTCCATACATGCACACAGTGGTCATCCATACATGCACACAGTGGTCAT